ACAAACTCATTCCTGGGGTTTTCACATTTTCCAGGGAGAGTTTCAGGTGATCTCTTCACAGCTTCTGCAGTCTGAGCTACCTGAACATCCAGCTTCTTCACATGAGTCCACACTGCTTCATACTTGCCATTCAAGTCATTGTACATGGTGTCCACTTTGGCATTAATCTCCATGGAAGACTTTTGCTGATTAACCAGCAGCTGTTGCATCAAGTTTTTCAGCTCATCCTGCGAGTTATTTGAGAAACTCGAAGAAGGCTGTAGACTTGTGAAAGGCAACTTCTGCTGATTTCCACCTTGAAACCGATTCTGATTGGTGATGAACTGCTTTCCTTGGAAGTTACTGGAGAAGTTCTTCTGAAATCCTGACTGATTCTGCACTCCTTGCTGAGGATAGACCTGATCCTGAGGGTTCTCAACATTGTTGCTTCTGTAGGATAAATTCGGGTGGTTTCTGAAGTTGTTGAAGCTGCGATTCTGCACATACCCTTGTCCATTCACGAAGTTCACCTCCATCTGATCATCATTCTCTGCATCTACAAACTCTCGAGCAAGAGGTGCATCACCAACCTCATCAGCAAAATGCACAGATCTCTGGTTCTCTCTCAACAGCAGATTCACCTTTGCTGTAAGCTCATCGATCTTGCTCAACTCCACACTATGAACTGCTTTCCTGTCATACTCTTGGGATTTGTTGCTGGAGCTTGCAGCTAAGTTCTCAATCTACTCATAAGCAGCTTCTTTGGACTTAGTCATGAAATCGCCATTGCTAGCTGCATTCAAAGCATTCATGTAATCCCAGTTGACACCATCATAAAAGGTTGACAAAATCTGCTCATCAGAGAACCCATGGTGAGGGCACTCTCTTCGGTACTCCTTGTACCTTTCCCAAGCTTCGCAGAAAGCTTCACCAGGTTGCTGTTTAAATGACGAGATCTTGTTCTTCAGAGCTGCAGTTTTAGCCTTAGTGTAGAAATGGTCCAAAAATGCTGATCTGCACTCTTCCCATGTAGTCAATGACCCAGGTGGTAATGACTTCAGCCAGCGCAAAGCTTTGTCCGCAAGTGAGAATGGAAAAAGCTTGCATTTCAAAAAATCGGCTGGTATCCCATTTGATCCAGTCGTGCTGCAAATCTCCTCAAAATTCTCGATGTGGTCCATCGGAATCTCAGCAGGAAGCCCATGAAAGAGATGCTGCTTCACCAATGAGATCAGCTGAGGTTTGATCTCAAAGTCTTGCCTCTGAATGGTTGGAGGAGCAATCGCAGCCCTATTGTGATAGTAAGCATGCGGACTGTCATTGTCTCCAATAGCAGGCTGTGGTTGCTCCCTGTCTTGCTGCTCCCTGTCTTGCTGCGCCTTTTGCAGCTGCTCCAATTGCTGTCGAAGCTGTTGCAGCTCGACAGCCATGTTGTCACTGTTGCCTTGATCGACCATGTTGGCTTGAATAGGCCTTTGGCGTCTGTTTTCTCGCTCGACTCTTGCTAGCTCGGTGTTTGACAAAGAAACAAGATCGGTGCAGTTGCTCCTTGTGGATATGTTTGACATACACCTGAAACACACGCAAACAAGAGAACAAGAGAAAAAATTAGTAAAGTCTTAGTCTGAATTTTAAACCAAAAATCAAAGGTAACGAATTGGTCCCCGTCGAAACGGCGCCAAAATTTGATTCACACTGGATGTACTCCTAGTTTCTACTGCAATAGAACAGTGATGTAGTTGTAATATAAAGGATTCGGAATCCAGAGGACCAGTGTTACTCTATGACTTTGCGAGGATTGAATTAAAGCTAAGATGAAAGATGGTGTGTTTGTAATGTTAACGAAAAGTAAAACAAGCTAAAAACGATTTCAATTCAAATATAAAACAAGCACTAGATCAAGGTAATTCGCAGGAGTTTCAGAGATGAGAATCAAATGACTATTCAGGGCACAACTTAAATGCAGGTCTCGAACTCAAACATAAAAGCTTATCGATCCTCTGTCGTGATCTCGATAACTTTATCTAACAACCTAAATTTTAAACTGTCGTTTGAACTTAGAAAATTGCAGACAAGCTTTAACAAGCAGGTTTGATCTGTTCACGATTTGCCTTAACTTCAACTGTCGTTGGCTAAGGACAAATCGCTCACCAGTGTTTATTCTAGCAACCTATTACACTTTTGATGAATAGATTAACCTATGAACGCAAATTGAATGGCCAGTTCAACCTAAGCGTTAAGTCTAACAAAGGTGAAGACAATCGATTTTAAACCCTATTTGCATCCAATTCTCTGACTCATGAAATCATTTGAAAACCTTAATCTAGCTAAGAGATCTACTCAGACATGCAGAAAAGAAACACAGCAACAGATGAAAAGAAATTCATGAATTAAAATCGCAGAAGAGATAATAGGGTTCAGAATTCTTCTCAAAGTGTAGCAGATTTCTTCTCCCAAAAGCTTACAAGTAAAAACTCTCTGGTTCAAGAAATTGTAAAAAAAAGCGTAGAAAGTCTGTAGAAAAACGTGATAATAAAAGGTAGGCGGCTCTGGACTTTTTATTCTCTTTCTGGTCCCAGAATTAGGTAAAAATCGATTTCCTTATTTTTATCCAGGCGGTTGGAGCAGGTTCTCCACGAAAGGGTGAAATCGGGAGCAGGTGCTCCCGACCAAGAATGATCCAACTTCGTGTAAATTGACATCTTTTGCTCAGCTTCAGCTCCTTTTTGCACCAAAAGCTCCAGCTGCTCTAATCCATCGCCTTAAGCCTCTTAGTTACCTGAAACGACTTGAGAAAGACTCAAAAGACTCTAAAAAGATCAGTAAACACAGGTTAGAATGAGTCAAATCTTCACTCATCAGTTTCCAAATATTTATGATAAGCCTGAATCATCTAAGAAGCCAGTAAAACATTTTTGACGAGCAAACGATCTTTCACAAACGCTGACTGGTTTGGAGCTATAAGTCTTGGAAGAATATCCTTTAACCGGTTGACAAGAAGTTTGGAAATTATCTTGTACAAAACATTGCAGCAAAATATAGGTCGATAAATCCTTCATCTCCCTAGGATCATTTTTCTGCAGAATCGACGCCTAGATGGTGGAGTTTACCCCTTTTGGAAAAAATTCCAACTGAAAGAAAGACTGAACCACCACAGTAATGTTTTTACCAACCACCGACCAAGTCTCTTTTAAAAATTCAGTGCTGAACCCATCTGGTCCCGGAGATTTGTTATTAGGCATTAAAAAAACCACCTTTCTTATGTCCTCTGCTTTAACTTCTCGCGTCAACTGCTTACAGTCCTCCGAGGTGCATCAAAGGGATACTAGATTCTCAAGGGTCTCATTGTCGGTACCTGTGTAATCTGCAGGTATATGAGATAAGAATTCTTGGAAGTTCCTCTTCGCCTCTGCTTTTATGCCTGCATTTTTTCTGAAGACAGTGTCATTAATGCCTACTATCTCCTTGATTGCATTATGAATTTCCCTGATCCGAGCGGCTCTGAAGAAGACTTTATTGTTCTTGTCGCCAATAATCAGCCAGTGTAGATTTGATATTTGTCGCAAGTAACCCTCTGCTTTGAGGCAGCCAGATTCTCTGCTTCGAGTCCAACAGTGGTTGGGTTAAAAGCATTTGATTCTTTCTTTTGGCAGAGGTCCTCGAAAGCTTCTTTCGTTAAGAGATCACCAAATTGGTTTTTAGATAGTTCCCACAACTTTGGCTTCAAGTTCTTAAGCTTCTTAACAAAAAAAAGGGATTTTTCATTTAATTTTAATCTTTTTTGTCTTAAGAACCCTACTAAAAACCCCCCATTAATCATGCTCTAAGAAAATTAATGTAAGTAAGAAAATTACAATTTTTTATTTATTTTGGTTTATGCGGGTCAACCAATGAAAAAAAGAAAAGTAAACTGCCAATAATGATCGGTGCTGTAGTCGCCGTAGCATTTGTTCTTATCATCGCATATGTGTTCGTTGCTATTTTCTTGGCAAATCGTCGCAGAGCTAGGCTGCCAGCGTTGGTATTACCTACGTCCACAGGTATACTTACATTGAGGCCTCTTGATGTGTTTGGTGTAATTTGTGTATATAGTGATTATATTTGATCCATTTAATCTAAAGATATATGAAATTAATTTGGTCTTGACTAATCTCTACGTACTTCAAAGATGTGACATTTTAAAAGTTTAACAACAGTGACTAATTTGGGGATCGGAGCATCCCCTCTATACGGACAACAAATGGGCAACGACTCAAACCAGCCTACATTTGATGCGGACATGGGATAAATCGAGGACCTAATTGGAGTGAACCAATCGAATGTAGCGCAATGACACTGAACATATATGTTTTTGCTTTCCATTCTATGTGTTTCCAATTTCTTTTTCGGTTTCAATTTGTAAATTTTTTTTTCTTCTAGTCCTCAGTCTTGTTGTCAATTATTATTTCGGTTGAGACTTCAGAGGTAAACAATAGTTTTACTTGTCTGTATAAAAAAAACTATTTCAAATATTTGAAAACAAACTATTTCAAATATTTTACTGTTCATTGGTCAAATGGTCATCGGATTTTGAGATTGTGTTGGACGCATCTCTCTTGTCTTTAGAGCATGGATTTCAATTTAGATCTATTTAGTTTATGGAAAACCATAAAAGGTTATGACGAACTTGCGTGTGGTAATACATAGGTACCAGGTCCATGACTAAGGACGTAAAATATTCGCTACAAACTCTAGTATGATTTTACCGTTACATTTGACTGTAAAGGCAGATCGAAATAGTATAAATCTCAAAAACAGTAACATGATCGTGATATGCACATGTTAACCAATTCATCCGATTTTGAGATGTATAAAAAACTTTTTCAATTTGATAAAATAATAATAAAAGGGTAATAATGAACAAGTTAGACCCAATTTTTTTTTTCCTTAACTCAGATGGATTGATGAATCGTTTATTTGGGTTTGCCAGAGTTATACTAAAGAAAAAGAAAAGAACCAAAAATAAATTTTATTGAAAATAATTAACTTGACAAAATAGAGATTAAACTCGGGAAATAACAAATAGCGTATGCATAGAATCTAGAAGTGTAAGCTATATCATAGCCTTTGGTTATGGGATCATGTATTACCAACGGGTACCATTCACCCTCATACAACAATAACTTGTCCTTCTCCAAGACTGCTAGTGGTTTGAGTGCCCATTTGGGATCCTCCCCAAACCAGAGAGAAGTTTCATAGAGATCTATGGAGTAAATTTTGGTCCATGTCTTGTGATCTGAATCGAGCGACCAAATCACTTGGTTGGGCCACTTTATCTCAGATACGCATAAATGATCATCCAGGTTGCACATGACGATTTTTTCAATAGAGTCGTGGACAAAAGGTGCTTTAGAGATGATTTGAAAAGTTTCGGCGTGAAGAATGAAAGATAAAATCTTGTTTTCACCCTCGTCCGGGGCAGTGAACCAGTGAAGTGATCCATCTAAATGTACAGGATATTGGCAGTGAAGAATCAGATAAGGGGACGCAGGGACAACATATCTCCAAGAGTTTGTGGTAAAATCGTAAACTTCGCAAGTAGTAGTAGCATTGTTGTTAAGGCCTAATACATCAGAGTTGTATAACCAAACTGGCTTGTATGTGTCACTGATTTTGTCTTTACCAAATCCAGGAGAAGATCTAGGGTTCCTTATTTCGAAATACACTAGTTGATAGTTACATGGAGGCAGTGTTCGATGCCATCGAGTGGTGGGATTGATGATGATACACGATTCATATGAATCGTAGAGGCATATCAGACCGTCACAGCTACTATTACAAACGTTGTAACACTTTTTCTCCCAAGTTGTAGGGATCTTAACAGATACTGATGACCTTAGAACCAACGTTCTCAAAGCTTCAATTTGAGGATTATTAACAGAAAGATCAAACACGGACACCAAAAGTACTTCTGGATCTCTTGATTGTTTACGATGGAGAAGATGTCTCTTTTTGAAAAAAGGGGATTGTATAGTAGATTTCCATTGCTTCGACACAGCATTGAACTTGAGGAGGGTTTTCACATCAAGTCTCTCAAGAATATGCTCTATCACATCGTGTGGTAGTGATTGCATATTGTTCTATCTATCTCTGTGAATGATGAAGAGATTGGAAAAGAAATTGACTTATTTATGAGCAATTATCGTACCATTCTCAATTCAACTAGGGATTGGAAAAAAAGAAAACTTTGACTAAAAAAGGAAATGCAAATTTATTTGTTAATTATGAATATGAAATCTAAAATATAAACAAGAAAAGCGGATGTCAAAAAAAAAAGTCAGTTCAAAAAAAGGAAAAAAAATCTCTCATAGTTTACTTCTGGATCGAAGGTTAATTATGATTCAAGTAACATCTTAAAACCCTAGCTCTTCCTCTTTTGGGCTTTGACTTTACGATTGGACTATGAACCACCATCATTGTGGTTGCTAAATTCCACAATTTGTGTATAGTTTTTGGATTAGAGATTTATAATGATGGGTCAGATTTGTCTTTGAATCGATCGAGTATAAAAATGTATTGAAGAAATTGGATTTGTATTAATTTTATCGAAGATGAATACAAGATTTTTGAAAGAGAAATGGTACAAAAGATAACTGTTTTTCTAGGATTTTTTCGAAAGAGAAAATTGTTGATTTTGTATGACTCGAGCTCCTTTTATACTTTTCCGCCACGTATCTCGGACCATTTCGTGTTATACCAACTCCGTGATCTCTGCAATGATTTTGAACTGTTAGTGTAATATCTTTAACTTTAACTGGATATTTCGGAGCTTGGAGTTCGCCAGAAGCTACACTTAACTGAACCGCGAATAGTTTAGTAGGCTGAATCATGCATTTAGACCGATTATTAATCTGACCCAATTCTGAAAATTATTTTTTATTTAATTAAATTATAATTTTTGTTGTGCTTCGTGGCCGGGCTAGATGTGAAAAATCCATCTCCCATAATCATCTTTGATTTAAGGTAATGAATAAAACAGAAGTACAGAACTATTCGATCGACTTTGGTGGACGTAGGCGGAAATCATAAATGGGTTTTTATCAAAAAAATAAAATCATAAATGGGTCACTATATTAAGGCCCAGTAACGGAGCAGATAGCGAAAAGTTTATAGACAAAAGCGGCATGACGTTCAACTGTCTACCGGCGAAATTACACGCAGTCAATCGAAACTTCTTGAAATCACATGAGATATCGAGTAACGAAGATACCTATCAACAAACAAAAAAAAAAATCGAGAAACGACGATTATAACCGAAAGTTATAAGAGAAAGAAGAGTCACGACTTTTCAAGAAACTTGCAGAACGTCCTTGCTCTTATCCTCTCGCTAGTCAGTCCCTATATATACGCAAAGTCACTAAGGCCTAAGAATCAACAAAGCAACAAAAGAGCAAAGCCAAGCAAAAGAGAATTAAAACGCCAAAAAGAGTGTAACGATGTCTATAATTCCGAGCTTTTTTGGAGGCCGAAGAACAAACGTGTTCGACCCGTTCTCGCTTGACGTATGGGATCCGTTCGAAGGATCAGGTTTGGCAAACGCACCCGGTAGAGACGTGGCAGCGTTCACAAACGCTAAAGTGGACTGGAGGGAGACACCTGAGGCGCACGTGTTCAAGGCGGACTTGCCTGGGTTAAAGAAAGAAGAGGTGAAGGTGGAGGTTGAAGATGGGAACGTACTTCAGATAAGCGGAGAGAGAAGCAGCGAGAACGAAGAAAAGAGTGACAAGTGGCACCGTGTGGAGAGGTCTAGTGGTAAGTTCATGAGGAGGTTTAGGCTGCCGGAGAATGCGAAGATGGAGGAAGTTAAGGCTTGTATGGAGAATGGTGTTTTATCGGTTATGGTCCCGAAAATTCCTGAGAGGAAGCCTGAGGTCAAGTCTATTGACATCTCTGGCTAAAGGGAATGGTCAAGATGGAAAGTTGAAGACATAAATGTGTTGTTGTGTAATAAAATGATGTGCAAGTTTTCTTTCTCCTGTAATGATGAACCGCGTTGTATCAAAGTTAGTGAATATTAATAAAAGAGTAGTTTGAAATACCTTTTTATATATAAGGTTTGTAGCTGAATTATGTAAACATGAGTCCATATCTTAGTCCTAACAAGTTTTAGTCTAGTGATAATCACGGTAATATCAGCAAAACATTTAAGGAACTAAGAAACCTTCAGGGATGACTTTTTGTTGGACTAGGATTGTTGTGGCTGTGATTCGCCGAGGACAAGTGTTCGAAGGATTGGCATCTGGCTCTCGAGAAGTTCCCGTTTGGTCAGGATTCTATCGGCAGAGCAGTCATGTTCCTGTACATATGAATTGAAACAGCTTAAGAGATCATTTTTCTAAAGAGAGTAAAATGGTTATATCCCGAAAAAACAAAGAGGAGATTTGAACCTCTCCCGATGAAGCCGACATTAGAGCAAGAAGAGTGATAGTTGCTGTTTGGTAATCCGTCAAAGTCTTGTACGCAGATTCATCAAGTTTATCCTACAAAGTTGAATTTGACGTCAGACCAAGATGTGATACTAAGTGAAAAGACGCTAACTAATTATTTTTTTCTACGTTGTAATACCTTCAAGTGTGAAATAGCTGCAGCAATAGCTCGACCAGGGGCTTGTAAAGCTTTGTTGTGAACCTGTCAAATTTCCAACCATAACTTGATATCCGGATTTTCAACTTAGGATGTATTTTACGCTAACATGGAAACATACCTTAATATAAAGGAGAGAAACAACTTTAGCGAGAAGTGCAACGGGGTCTGATTCAGTAGAAACTTGAGATATCAAATCCTGCAAGCACAAGAAAAAACATCGTCAACAGATAAAAAGAAGTGATGAGGTCATTTTAATATGTTGAAACAACAATATGTTTTTGGTACACACCTTGCGGTATGCATGTAGGAGAGTCCTTTCCAGTTTCTTGTCAAGCTTTTTCAAGACCAATCCACTGCAAAGATGAAGATGACATTCAGTCGATCTGGTGAATAGTAAACAGACATGCTTCAGAAATATCTTGATAAGTATGAACTATAATACCTTTCCCCTGCCAGCTCTCTGAAGGTGGTCATGAAAATGTCTACGCGCTGAAACACACGAATAATTCAATCAATGGAGTTTATTTTATTATTCACGAGAAGGAAAGAAAAAAGTGAAACAAAAGGCTTTAAATACTCCCTTTAACAGGGTGATTATCAGGAATAGGTGGAACAGGAATTTAAATGTAGTGGTCAGGCCTAAGTAATCATAAGATTCCATTCTCAACCAGTAGTTCATATCATTTGTTTCAATCACCGACTCGCATTCAGATTCTAACAGAATTGAAAAACTCTGGCTCTATGTTCACTAACGAATATCTGACCTTCCCTTCCAATGCCTCAATTAGGGCAAGGGCCCTTTTCGATAATGGACCGTTGAGATTTTTAGCCTGCCCAAAAGGAAAAGAAAACACGAGAACTTTGAACATCAGCTAACATTATTTTAGAATATAAAGTGCAATAACAAAGTACTTAGTTAAATTTTTTGTCATCAAATTGACTTACAAGGGCCGTTCTTTCAGAAGAATCAAGCAAAACCGGATCTTGAGCTTTGGAATCTTCAACTTCAATACCATTCTTCAATTTGTTGTGGATGTCCTGTTTTGATAATCAAAGCTAAATTAGTTAATAAATTAAGAAAATGACCTCAGAAATCTCTATTTACCTTATTTTTGACTTACTAAGTCATGAAGAAGTGTATCAGCAATTGTAGCTGCTGTTGTTCTCAGCAGATGCCTATGTAAAACAACCTAGGACCAGAAGAAAATAAATTGTTACACTATATTCTTTAGTTAGCAAGTGCCGCTTGCAAAATGAACTGAAAGTACTTACTGAAGTCGATTGGTCATCTTCAAACAGTTCTAGCGCTTTTTCGTACAGCTGCATATTTAGGAAGGACTGCCAAAAGGAAAGCCAATAAAATGAGAATCGCAGGAAAGACATTGATTGTCTAACAAAAGATAAAGCTATAGTTGAAGCAGTTAGTGTCAACCTCATCAAGCTTTTTCTGAAGATCATCCATCAAGCGCTTCAATCTATCTGCATTTTCTGTGAAGACTTTCTTTCTTCTCTCCTTTAGTGAATTAATGAGCATAGGTCTCATATGATCAGCTAAATGCTTAAGAACTGAATCTGGGTTCTCCAAACCTGCCAGAAACCACATAGCTTCTGTCACATGAGCGATCGCTAGATTATTTTTTATGCATACATAAGAAAGACTTTCTCAGATGTACCTTCGTCTTCAAATTCAGGCACAGAGTCGACGATCTTTTTCATCACCCATTCCTCTGGCGGAATAACGTTATTACCTTCTTGCGCCTTAAGGGACTCTTTCTTGCCTCCTGCTTTCGAATCTAACTTCTGAGACGACGATATATCCCTGCCTTTCTTATGGTTTCTCTTAGATTTAGGACGAGCTTCCTCTTCATCATCTGGAACAGTCTCAACGGTTGCTGTCTTCATGCTGACAGACTTCCCTTTTTTCTTCTTTGATCCTCTGTCCGTATTAGCAGGTATACTTTCTGTCGACTCTGAAGATTTGCTTGAAGGAACTACCAAACTAGCAGTAGAAGCTTGGATGCTGAAAGCTTCTGCCTCTTTCTCAATTTGATCATATATGCCCTAAAAATTAGTAAGTCAAACTAAGACATAGTCCATATAGAGAAAAGCAAACGGGAGAGACAAACAGCTCGCAAGGAAACTACTAATGATATTCTTTATTTAATATGTTTACCTTAATGAACCCACTGCTTAGGACATAGGATTCACCCAATATAAGTGCTTTCTCAGCCTGGAAGGGAAAAGGAATCAGCAATTAATAGCAAAAGAGCATTGACTGGTTATCACATTTGATCAAAATCCCACCTTGAGAGCTGATTGGACGGAGGGACAAAGAAGCAACATCTTGTTTGCATCCTGTGACGTGAATGATGCAGGCAATACAGTGAGGGAATCGATCCTGAACCGAGGATCAAGAATTTTAGTTTAATTTTAGTTCTTTTCCGCAACCAACCGATGAATAAATTAACTCGTCGTACATAAGGACATT